TGTGGAGTAGGTGAGATGGAGAAGAAAGAAAAAAAATGAGGGGGGGGGGGGGGGGGGGACAACTTACTAGTAACAAGAAAAAATTGTGTTTAATAATCTTAAACTGGAACTGATCAGGACATGAAATAATAGAAGCATCTGCTGCTATAGTTATGGGGATATCGGTACTTCCATGAAGGACCCCTATTTTCTGGGGTTATAATGGTTTCAGGCTGAAACTTGATACGCTAAAGTTTCAGTCTGTTAGCAATTTAAAAAAAAAGTTTGTGTGGGATTTTTTTTTAAGCTTCAAGGTTCTTACCTAGTTACGGTCAGAATTCCCAATGGAGGGAAAAAAACCTAAGAATACCTGTTAAAGAAAAACCTCCAGCTATGCAATGTAACCATTCTTAATTTTAAAGACTTTGTGCCTGTCAGCCCCCAGTGAAGTCTGTGCTCATAAACTTACAAAGTTTTCAATGAAGTAAGCAAGATCACATCTCCACAGCTGCTCTGGGTGGTTGCGCGGGCATTGGCAGCGTCTTCCCTGAGCTTGAAAAGCACGATGGGCAGATGTTGTGGTGGTACAGAGTTTGTTTCAACACTTCAAAACTCTGCTGGAACACAGGAGTTTCCTGGCAAGGATCCTATTGTGGTGCTGGAGCTAAACCTTTGCTCTTTCAACATCAATATCAGAGTTTTCTTGTTTTCAGAGGGGCCAGGAGGTAGCTCTTGAACTCCAGTGATGTGGTTGAGCTTCTATATATACGCTCATACACACCCCCCCATTTTGAACACCTGTATAACCATGAAGTCTACTGCAGCTGTCTGAGCAGGAGTTAATGATTAAATGGCAAATATGCAGCAGTTTTGACGCTTTCTGATCAAATCTCCTCTAACTGCTTGCTGCTTCTTGGTGTATTTTAAACTAGATACAGAACATATGTGTAAAAATGTTCTGCTGGCATTTTTTTTGCATCAGACAAGAAGTTGCGTTGTTTGTGTGATGTGGGTTATCATGTAAAGTCTACATTTGTCAATACGTAAATTAATATTTTTGGAATTGCTGTGGTTTATATGAAAAATAACAAAATAATCTACAAATTCTTCTTTCGTCCAAGGAAAGTGTAGTCATTGTAACTCAATGCTTTTGTGTACCCAAAAGTAATTTTACAGTTTGTTTTGCCATATTTATAGTAACAGCTTAAATGAAAAATAAGAAAAAAATATGCAGTCCCAGGAAATCTCAGTAAGAGGAGCATTATTCAGTTGAATTTCAGGAACTTTTTAATTCTTGTAAAATCTAGGTTTTGATGTTGTTTGGCATATCGGGTCGTTTATGACCTCTAGATGCAGTACAATACAAGAAAAAAAGTTTCTTCATAAGTTAGCAATACACGTTAATTGAAGCTTTTGGCCTGAGTTATAAAATTGGATGTGCATTCACATTGCATATATGCACAAATGGTAGCATAAAGGAGATATGATATGTCACCTTGTGATATGTCATCTTGTGAACATATATGTCATCAGTTCCTTTAAAACAAAGTCTTCCCTTTGGTCCATTTCTAGTCTCTTATTTTCATGCTGATGTGGGTTTAAATCAGATTCCCTGCATTAACTGAGTGTGCCTGTGAACAGGAGAATAAAAGAAGTCTGACTCTTTACAGGATGCACACCTGTATCTGTTACCAAGAGTAGTAAAACATCAGAAAGCATACTGCTTTTCATAAATTATGCTCCTTCATTTTCAGAAGGGTGCACTGAAGTTGGAGGTCTCCACAATTTCGTCATCAGTTCATGGCAGTAAAGGTGCAATTCAGCGCTGTAAGAATAGGTCTTTAGTGCCATTTGAGATGCTCTGTAGTTTCCTGGCTAGGCTGCAACTGTCAAGAAGGCTGCAAATCTCTCACAAGTCATTTCTGCTGGCTTAGTGTGGGTATCTTGGTATCTCAAATGTTCATAAAGACCAATGTGTAGACAGCTGAATCAAGTATAAAAGTCTGAATGGGATGCTGAATCCATTGAACTGAAAGAATTTGGGATAAAAACCGTTAATAAGCAACCTCAAAATCCTGTGAAAAAGGGATTCACTTTAAACTTTTGGAGATTGATAAGACTCCAGCGCAATTCTTCAAATATACCAAGTTAAGCATGTGCTTTTGTGATTATTGGAGCAAGCACATAGTAAGCAGCACCTTGTGGGTTAAAGCCATGTGAACCCAATTCAGTTTCATACATCAGCGGAAAGGCATCAGTGTCCTGATTCTTCTCATTGAATTATGGGTATGTAGATGAAGAGTCCAAGCCAAGTTCTTGGTGACCCTCAGTAGTCAAGAGAGAGGGAAGCACGTGAAGTGGATCAGTCAGATCATAGGTTGGATTACTCGCTCTCTGGAAATACGTATTTCTGTTTCTTAAATACTGAGGGGATCCCAGGCCCACTGTGGGCTGCTGTCTTAGCTTCTTTCTGTGTCATGAGGAAACTGTCTTCCAGCCATCTCCTATCACACAGCAAAGCCTACTGTTCATGGCAGTTCTGGACTGGAGTTACCAGTTACTCCAGTTACTTTCTGGAGTTACCAAACAGGTGTGGAATCACCATACTTTGTCATACAAGGACAGTGAAGACCCTGCAGATTCTCCAGGGGAGTCCTGAGAAAGAGATTGTGCATTTTGGAGTATGAAGCCAAGACAACTCATGTCACCAGCTCCCAATGACCTTCTTTACCAGGGTCAGCCTGAGAGTGAGATGATGCAAAATTTCATGATGGCATGGGACTGCACCCCTGCCTATCATCTTTTCTTTTCCATCATGTGGACTGAGTGTGCCCATGATGTGAGGAAGGTGACCAGGAGCTGGCTGGTGAATCATCATGTTGGGTTATATACAGGAGTGAATGATGAGTTGAATATCTCTCCTGAGTCACCCACCTCCGAGTACCTCTGATCATGCTGAGTAACGCCCATTCCACACAGGCTGCTGGCTCCCTGGAGCTTCTCTCACGAGTTAGCACTGCTCAAAGGGAAGGAAGATTTCAATTGTATTCTTAAAAAGACAGAGTGAATTTATGCCAGAATACTTAGTGGGGAAAATGGAGGATGCAGATATGGCAGCTTAGATATTTGGTTTTAAAAACTTCCAGATGTATGTTTTCTGATATTGGAATCCAATCACTCTTCCTTTCTCTGGAAAAGCAGAGAAGGGAAGAGTGCTGGTATCATTCTTGGTCATCATAGCTCAGCATTGTCAAGGCAAATAAAATCTCCTTCACTGTCACCCATAACTTTTCCTGCACAGATATTACAGTTTTTATTGTTATATGAAACTATGAAGCCTGCATTCTATGTCTATAAATTATCTGTAGGTACTGGAAACATTTATTTTAAGAAGATGTGCAGAAAATCAGTGATGGGAAATTTTGTCTAGTTTATTCGGATGTTCATGAGTTCATAATGTATTGAAATTATGATGGTGCATTGTGACCAAAAAACCTGACATATTTAACTATTTGTTTTCACACTAGTGTAGCACAACACAAATTCTGTTGTCAAAGTTAATGGAAATACTAAAGTCCAATCCATAGTTTATGCCAATTAAAAAGTATCAGTCAGGCATATGGCCTCGTAAGCATTTTTAGCATCTTCACACTCTCAGAAGCTTTGCAAAAAAAACTTATGCAATATAGAAGTTAGGATATAAAGTTCAATTTCTATATTTGGACTGAAAAGAAGTAGATTATGTAGGATGAAAAACTATAAAATTAGAAGTCTGTAAAATGTTGGAGTATCGTACTTTTGTTTAATGTAATAGTTTAAACTGGTATTTCTAACCACTGCAAACACCTCAACGTAAGACTAAATTTATATGATGTAATGAAAACGCAACATGCCATACAAAGAGATAATGTCTATTCGTAGCAAATATCAGCAAGAATACTGATTTTCTCAAAGAAAGCCACTTTGTTAATAACAGCAGTTCATAGACAAAACGTCTGTATTTAAGTTGCCTCATTTTTATGAAAATGGTAATAAAATTGCATCTGTATGTTTGCCTGTGTATATTTCTTTTCTCACGATCAGTGAATGTTTGCAGTTGGTAATAAATATTCAAGCACCTTGCAAATGTCCTACCAATTCCCTTTGCTGATCTGTGTGTGCCTGTGGGACTAGAATAGGAATGCATAATTTAAATATAAATTGCCTGATTTGCATATACAATTAGTCTAGCTACAGCTTTGATCGTAAGCAAAAATTATTGTCCTGTATTGCCACTTAGATAGAATTTTAATTCACCTTGAATATTCAAAGTAAATTAAGCCTTGGCTGTATGGTTGAAGGGTATGATTTTTTCCTCTCCTGAGGCTTTCCCCTAAACAACATTTATGGTAGGGTAATATAAGGGCATATTTTCAGCCTCATAAAAATAAAGGCATAAGTTTTATCTCTAAATTCCCCTCCCTCAAAAACTTCAGCTGAAACATCTCTTGCAGACATGCACACGAATAACACACATACACAGAATAATAGAACTCTTCTTTCATTTTAATTAATTCAGTTTTAGTCAGTACGTGGCTTAAAGTTGTGTCTTTATGGTAATTTGCTTAATAACTGAAAATGGAGAGTTTGTGTAGTCCTTATTTTTTTAAAATAACAAGTGCAGAGCTGTGAGACAAAAGAGAGTTACTGACATAGACTCTGTAGGTAAGAGTTAGGTGTATGTGGATGTGCATGCACACAAATACGTGGGCTAAATAAATGGACTAAAGCTCAAACCCGTAACACAGTTGTAATACTTAGATTTTAATCTACAGTAAAACATTTTTATTAGAAATCTATGTTTTTAATTAAACAGAACATTTAATTAAGGTGGTTTTTAAGTGGATGAAACAATTAAGTGCAAACACTTGAATGAAACATGTCATAATTAGTTTTAATAGAGTGTTAATTGGTACTAGGTTTGCCAAGTTAATAATTACTGCTTATTAAATTTTCAATTAATCATTGTCATTTTGCTTTGAATAAAGATGAAAATTAGATAAACTAATTCAGGGGGAGGATGGTTTCCTTGTTAATTAGAGCAGTTAATTAAAAAAAAAAAAATTGCTTGTTTTAGTTGTCAATTAAAAGACTGTTCATTAGTAAAAGCTTTGCACTCTTCCTGCATCAAAACCCAAATAACCAATTTGTGACAATCCATGTTTTCCGGAATAAAAGATATGAAGCTAGTATATACCAAAGAAACGGCTCATGTTGGCTTAGTTGTTTTACAAGAAGCATGATGAAGGTTTGAATTTAGTGAAGCGCTGTGCCCCTGCTCAGCGTTAATGGTGCACGGAAGCCTCGCTGGCTGTGGTGCGCTCAAGAGCTCGGCGGAGCCAGGAAGTCAAGTCTTCACAGTGTAAACATAGGTTTGAAGGAGAGATCAAGAGGTCAAATGAATGTTCATAAACAAATTTTAATTTTGGCTCGTAAAATTATCTGTCCAGGAAAAGATATTAGACTAATGATTTAAAATTTTTAAGTAAACTCTTGGGGTTTTTTTAACTTCATGTATTTATTCGTTAACATACAGGGAAAAAAAGTGTTAATGACTATAAATCTTGTCTTAATTTCCAGAGCTTAAAGATACATTTTTGAAAACGCCTGTAATATTACGTCTTATATAATAATTTTTGCCAAAGATAGTCATAAATCTGGTGTGCTGCAAACCCAGTTTTCCAAGTAAAATGTTGAAAAAGATTACAAAAATAACGCACCAGACATCTGAAATGTCTGTACTTAACGAAGTACTGACTGTGAATCAAAATAGCAAGGATCATCACAAGCGTTAGAGACTTGTGAGAGCTTTCAGTGATGGGGAAGTAAAGAGGCACCGGGGTGGCCCTGAAGAGTCTTGAGGAACCAGGTTCCTCTGTGTCCTTCTCAAAATGAAGACTCTCAATATGATAGAGTCTCTGCTGCATTTCATGCTTTGGTCGTATGTAGCCCTGTGCCCAACCTGCTGTGCTGATGAGGTTTTCTATCCGTCCTTTGCAGAGGAAGCCGTCAATGAAGTAAAGCGTCAGGCGATGGCTGAGTTGCAGAAGGCAGTGTCGGAGGCAGAGCGGAAAGCTCACGACATGATCACTTCGGAGAGAGCTAAGATGGAGCGCACTGTTGCCGAAGCCAAGCGCCAGGCTGCAGAGGATGCACTAGCTGTTATCAATCAGCAGGAGGATTCAAGCGAGGTAAGGTCTTTGCTGGGCAGGCATCACCTGTGGCTGCAGACCACGGGTGCATCTGGGCTAACGTTAATCTAGCTGGCACATGCTATTTGTGTGACATTGGAGTTCAGTGCCCACTGTTCACTGTTTGCACAGTTGCTTTGGACGTGTATTTCAGGTGCACGCTGAGCTCCAGTTTTTCTTGGCTATGTTGTAATCTGAGCCCAAAATAGTGAGCTTGAGCTGTGTTCCCACCTTTTAACTGTTGTTTAGGATTACATGTAATGCACACGCTTCTGTTCTAATTTAGCTTTTCAATAGCTTTATTTTAAAGCTCTTCAAGCAGCCATATTGAATAGATAACAAGATTGTTTCATCGAAAATATTTCACAGTGAAATCTAATTTAAACAAAGAAACAGTTACAAGAGGTTGTAGAGCAAGGTGGCTAAAAGCTTTTCTGGGGAAAGTGTTGGATGTAGAAGTGATTAGCAAAAGATCATGGTTCCTGTAGGACAGAATGTGAATGTAGATTTGCAAGTGTTTCCTTATTTTGCATGTGTTACTTTGGCTGCAGGGAATATTTGAGAGTTGAGGAGTGGGCAAATGGCGTTGGAAGGATGAAAAATAGACTGAAAGAGAAACAAAGAATAAAACAAGAATAAGTATGTTAAGCCTTGATTTACTTTTAGACCTGAAAGTGGAAGCCTTGAACTGCTGCGGTATGGGACATCAAGCAGCAGACTAGCTGGGAGTGAAAGAACAGCGTGTTCAAACAGGACTGCTCCTGTTTGACCAGTGCTGCAGAAGTCTAGATAGCAATTAAATTTTACGTCTGTTACAGAAAAACAACGTCCTAAGTTAAAACTGCCCTTAAAAACAGATATGACAAAGAAATTATGTCAGTTAAAAGTTCTTCGTATATAATCTGCATCTCTCAAGGCCACTGAAATGAAAGAACATTACTTTCATGAAGTATTTATTGTTCTTGTGCTAAGATCTTGGCTGTAGTAAACCCACTTTTTAATATAAATTCTAAATGGTAGGGAGTTGGACAAGAGAGTAGATCACAATACCTGTTGTGTGGGGACATGTGTTTGTGTACACTACTGTCAAAGCACTTTTCATGGGCTGGATGGGCGGCGTTGTGGAAGAGTCACTTAAGTTGAAAGATGCAGATGAGCTAGCTGCAGCATGCTGAGAAAACTGGCAAAAATCATGAGCAGATAAGTCAGTGGCATGCTGCAGTATGCATCCATAATCTGAGGGAGCGTAAGATTTTAATTCATACCAGGCTTCTCTGGAGATGAAAGACCATTGTGGGATCACTGAAGGCCCAGAGTTTCTACTTAATGTGTAGCAGATGAATAATAAGGAGACAAAAGGAATTGATTTTCAGCATCTGAAAGTTTCTCAGGAAGAAAGGGACTAGGGGAAGTGTATGTACCCTTTAAGTACTAACTGTTCCATTGTAGATTAAATGAGACATAAATTCAATTTATTGGCATTTTGTATCTGAGATACTCAAGGACGTTTTTCCTGGACTGTGTTCATAGAAAGGGCATTTGTCTGACTTAGCATCATTAAAGAGCTGTCATTTTGTGTGTGTATATGTACAAGAGACGCCTGTTGTTAAAACGAAAATTCCAAAGGTAAACGCCTTTGGAGGAAACTGCAAATTAAATGTTTAGTGAACTGATATAGTGTAGGCAGGGCAGAGGAAGTATTTATGTGCCAATACACACAGCCCGTTCTTCCACAAGCAAATGTGCATCCAAAGGAACATGTACAGAGTTTGTGTGCTTTAATTCGCTCCTGAGCAGTCACAGCTCTGGAAAAGGCTGTATAACAACAGACATCTTTACTTCTTCTCCAGCAGATTGCTTACGAGGTTGTTCACTTCTTGGAAACAAGACTTTAAAAAAAGACAAATAATTCTTTTAATTGCATTCTAATGGAATGGCAGTTATAGGGTTACAGATGTTCTCAGGGCTGTGCATCCTCAGGGAGGGATACAAGCCTCCTGGACCCTGAAATGAAGTCTAGTGTCCTGGTCCCGGAGCTTTCACCCCCTGTGGTCATGTGTGGGACATCAGGGTGGCTGTTTTGAGGTGAGAAATGCAGGTTTTAGTAACCCTGCAGAGAGAACTCAAGTTTGCTCAGGTTGTGTTTACAGGTGCTTGGTTAATTCTGAAGGGACATGACAGTGATACTTATTTGAGAGTTAGATGTGTCTGTTAAGTTTTTATAATTATTTCTTCTTCGGCTTTTAATTGTGCCAAAATCCAAACGCTTAGGGCAGTGCTGCTCATGATTACCTGTTAACTCAGGCTGCCCTTTTTTTTTGATAACTCCTGTAAAAATGGACCAGCCTTTTCCTTCATCTTTGAGGACAGGAGATCAGTTTGCTGGTGTTCAAAAATGGTTTCTTTGGAGATGAGACCTTGTGTTTATTGGGGTTGAGGAATAAAACTTCATGTTTGCTTTGGTGTTCATTATTTCTCGATATATCTGTGAACATCCCTCCTCATTTGTCTCGGTTGTAAGTCTCCAAAAACTTCTCTCTGTTTACAACTTTCAGCAGTACGCTTCCAGCAACAGAGATTCCTGCATACCAAAGGCACTGGAGTAATATTTCCAGGGCTAGAATATTTCCAGTTCCAAATATGAGGATGCTGAAGTAGCAGCTTCTGCAGTCTTACAGATTTAGAGGAAGGCTGAGCATCACTCATTTCTTATCCTTGGCGGGACATTATGCCAAGGCTTGCAAGAGAGCTCAGTATAGGCTGCTATATAATCTCCATGCAGTTCCTGACAGAGAATATTTCTCCCACAGGTGTCATTTATTTTTTTGGCTGTGGAAACTATGAATGGAGATGGGAATTTGGCACCAGATTTCTAATGTATCAGATATAATTTTCGTCTGATACGACCACTCCCTGTCTATTGGCAAGGTCTCTCCCTTACAGCTTTTCATTTTTTATTCAGTAAAATGCAACCTGGACCTAGCTGAGGCTTCTTGAAGCTGCTCTGGTGTGAGAACTTTGTGGCATGATTTTTATTGAAGTCTTCTCCAGAGCTCAAAGCGATAACTAGTACTAAGACTCAAGATTTTTGTAATTATTATAAGTTTAAGATAATATGTAGTCTCCTCATCCAAGACCTTTCAGAGGTCTCACAAAGAGAAGTAGATTTTTTTGTTGTTGTTCTTGGGTTTTTTTGTGTTTTGTTTTGTTTTGTTTTTTTCCCCCTAGTTTTGTTTGGGGGGTTTTGTTGCTTTGTTTTAAACCCAGAAAAAGTAGCATCCCTGACTGCAAGACTGTCTGCAAGAAAACAGTGAAGCTAAACATGTTGAACTGACTGGAGCAAAATAAAGGGGGCTTAGGACAGTGAGAGGACTAATAGGGGAGGTGTGATATTTGGAAGCATCCTGAGTTTTAAGAAGTGGTCTGCAATATTCTGAGAATCACTAGATTACATAGTATAGTTTTAATTTCTGACCGTGACCTAGTCCCTTGTTGAACTATTGTTCTTTTCTTATGTTTGAATTGTTCCACATGATTTAGTTCTCAGTGCCACTGCTTCAGCACCTGTACATTTACTTTCTAAAGAGTTCCATAATTTCTTGGCATAAGCCCTTGCTACTGACCAGGACATGTTCATTATGTTCTGTTATTGTAATAAGAGATTGGTTGAAGACCAGCAAACAGAGCACACTGCTGTTTGAAAGCAAAAGGAGAGGAGAAGGCCTACCTGTCAGCATGGCTGTTCCTGAACCACAAATTATTTCTTTACCAGTTCCTTACAGTTGCTTGACAAAAGATGACCCATTCATCAGTAGCTGACTTGGCTAAGTACAGAAACATGTGTGAGCAGCCTCCTCTTTAATGACTGCCGTGCTTGCTTTGGCTGCAATGTACTGTTGTGCAAATCAATTTTAATAGTAAGGGTGAACAACTTAGTACAGAGACTGGCTGCCCAGATTGTAGGGGGGAAAAAAATCATCAAAACATCTGTCTTTCTGCTCTGGTATAAAATGCCACTGAAAAATCTGACACTCAGTGTTCTTCCTCACTTTTGAGTAGGGTGGGGGCTGGGGATGGGAAAGGAACAGAAATGTTTCGGTTCTCTCTACTTAAAGCAGATGCTGACATCTGCTCAGATAAAACAAGTATGTAGCTGGTCCAACACTGCTTTTAAGAGATGTGTAATGTTAGGGCTTGTTTATATTGCAGCAGTTTATGTTGTATGTGCATATCACACTTACCTGACATTTTGAAGACAGCTGGGTTCACTCTCTGCTGACCAATCCATTGAGACCAGGACTGTGCCAGCAAACCTGACTCTGAGCATCAGATGCTGTGATTCAGGCAAGCCTAGTTTTTAAGCTGGTATTAAATTTAATACATATGGCAGCTAATGTTTAATTTTTTTCGCTGGGCATCTCTTAGAAAGTAGGACATCATGCCCTGCAGTGGTGGGTGGTACAGAGGCACAAGAGCCGTGTGTTCTGCGCAGGATCAGTCCAGATGTGATGTGAACTTTGGCACTGCCCCAGACTCCTGAGCTAAGCCTGGCTAGCCAGCTTGCACGTCTCTTCTGTATGCTTCTCTGCACTTCTGTTTTCAGGATTTAGCTTCTCTCATGCTGACTTGTATGAACATAGATGTACTTCACGCAATAAACAGTGGCTTGGGCAAGCCTGGAGTGTTCAGTGGTAGGTGTAACTTTACTAGAAGCATCTAAAGGTTTGAATATCTTTGCATGGAGCACTGCATTTTGATGCAGTGTGGGAATTTCCAAAGTACCAATGTGTTTCGCTTTCTAATGAGTCTTCGATAGAATTTTCATAAACAACTTTGCTGTTATTTTGCACTGGTGTTCAGTGGCTCATACAGTCCTCATTTATGCCACTGTGGTTTCAGTGATTTCTAGACATTCTTTTTCTTGTGGTTAGCAGTGATAGAGTTTTGAATGCCATGGGAATTGCAGAACCGGGAAAAATCTGGGTTCTTCGTACCCAGTCATGCTTCCTTTCCTAGTAAACTGGGGAAATCCAGAATTTGTCAAAGATGACAGAGCAGCGTTTGACACTGTATTACTGCATTTTAGAGTTCATAATCTCTTTGACATGTCACAGTCCATTTGGGTTTTTTTTTCTTCTTTAAGCCAGCTCTACACTGAGTCTCAGCTGGAGGTGTCAGAGGAAAGCAAATACTCAATTGTGGTTAAATATTTCAAAGTTGAAAGTGACAGGATGGGCAAAATTATTAACAAGTATGTGTCCTGGTACCAGAGACCACAGAAATGGAGACCATTTGTTTTTAAGAATTTTCATGATGGCAAACAGAAGTTTCTGAGTTCTGTTGTTTGAAGATGGAGGCTTAAGTGCATGCGACTTAGGAGTCTGACCTAAGATAAGGTTCTGACCTAAGACTGATGTTCCTTGTCAGTTGAAAGAGGAGGATGAAATACGATAGGTGGCATAGATTCGGAGCGAGATTCCCATCTGGTGTAATTTAGCCCAATTTCATTGAATTAATCCATTTTCAAGGTAGTGAAGTTAAATTGAATTATGTAGTCTGGAATCTGGCCCTTTGTGTAACCTCACTGTTTCACAGGAAAATCAATGCAGAGTTAAACTGTAATCCATTCCTCCTTGTAGTTTTAGCTACATCTGGAACTCTATAAAGCATGAGCTGGAAGTGCAGTGTAGTAGGTCACTACCTAAAGACAGAGAAGATAGACGAGGAGAGGCTTTGAGAGATCTGCTACTCCCTTTCCCAATGCAAGATCAGCTCTAGCTGTATCATTCCTGTAAGATACCTGCTTTTCCTGTGCTTTAGTGAGGAGATTCTCCAGTACCTCTAGGGAATTTTTGCCTGTCCTTAAAAAGATTTCTCATAACATCTCTTTCCAGTTTTTCTTGCAGATGTTTGATCCCATTACTTCTCCTGTTCATCGATGTAGACATAGTCATTGCCTGTTTCACTGCAGTAGCTTCCAAGATGTTTGGCTGCTACTGTCCCCTCTCAGGCTACCGTCTCTCCTGAGGTTTAACAGTCTCAGTTTGTTCAGTCTCTTTTCATAGCTTGTGTTCGCCTGACCTTGGATTATTCTGGCTGCCTTTCTCTGGGTTCTTTCCAAGTCTTATTTGTCTTATTTCATTTGCTGTATTTGAAATGCATCATCCCAACCTGGATAGTACTCCAGGCCGAGCCTTGCCAGTGCTAGGAGATGCAGAGTCTTAACTCAGGTGTAAAGCAGTCTGTAATCCTGCTCATACACCGTCATATGATGATTACCGCTTTGTCACCAACATGACATTTTGGTCCCCTGTTATCTGAGATGCTGCCTCCACAGTCCAGCCAGGGTGCTCTGTTTTGTTTGTACCTGCTAGAGCTTCCCAGGAGGAAAGATACCTTGACCATGCTCAATCTGATAGTGAGCTCAAGCTCTGTCTGTGATATCTGGATCAACTGGAAATACGTGAGCAGGGGTGCACGTAGCACAGCCCAGGCTGTTAGCTAGCATCTCAAGCCTGGCTTTTCTTCGGTAGAATTTGGGCTCTGGAGCTCTCAGCCAGCAACGTGAACAGAAATCATCTGTTGCCAAAGCTTGCGGTGCCTGAGCCTGATCTTTGCTGCT